GGGGGTGGGTGCCCTGTGCACTTTTATGTTAGGATACTTTAGTGTCTTGTACGTCGCACACAGCTGTGAGATAAACTGGCTATTACAATGACTGGCTTGCATACTGGCTCCCTGGTCTTTGCGTGTGCTCGAGGGAATTGCCTAAATGTCCTGAACACACACAAAGCCCGGGGAGCCATTATGGGTTTCTTGTTTACTGACCTTTAGCCCTGGCCTCATTCCAACACAACCAGCGCCATGTGATGAGCAGATCCATTTGCTTACAGAATAGGAATGTGTTTCATTTCTTACAGAGAAACTCGAGTGAAGCCTTGATGAATGAGGTTTGATTGTGAATAAGATAAACATGTAAGCAGAGGGTCCCAGCTCCACAGCACGCATTAGATGTTTTCAGCATCCCTCTGGCCGAGGTGTTTCACACGAATTACACGGTTCCAACAGGAAGACACACAAAAGGCTCAGCTCTCGCCTCTCGCAGCCAAATGTGGGACTCATTTGCTGTCTTTCTTTGGAGGGAAAAGAGTTTAACAGAAGTGTTGGCTGGCCCCTGCAACTGGCAGAGCTATTTAATCTCCCACGATCCTTGTCATTATGCTTGCCACTGCTTGCTGTCTGCAAACTCCCCACAGAACACGGTTGCACAGTTCTTGAGGCCAAGGAGGAGAAAATGGAAAAGGCTGCCGCGGTGAGCTCATGTAAACATCGTGATACGGTAGCAGGGCTCTCTCCTCTGCCACTGCGCGCATCTACTGTATTCGTTCTGGGATGCAAGTAGGCTTGTGGTGAGTGCTGTGACTAAGTGGCGGAACAACATGCATTCTGGGGACCACACTTCTCAGCAGTTGCAATCGAAATGCAGCACTGAGCAGAAAAGCCACCCCCAGTCCTGAGTCTCAGCCCCCATCGGTCCCTTCCTTCCCTCTTCTCCACCATGACCTTACACCAAAATCCTAAGGTTGACTTCACACACAACTTCACATCTCCTCCCCAAATATATCACTGCAGTCATAGCAAACACATGGAAACTTGACACAGGAAGAGTAAGACCACAATAAAAGTTTCACGAGTTATTATTTCCTATATAAGAGAGAAGTTCTCAGCTGGCTGCCAAGGAATATGTGAGCCCCACACGCCTGAGCCTGAGTACCCTGGGAGGACCAGACACTCCAGGGCATGACTCTCCGACTCTTCCTTCTCCTCCCTGGGAAGGAAGCTGCAACCGTAGCCAACTACATTCTACCTTCGCTGATACCAATTTCCTGCAAAGAGCCAGGGGCTCAACCTTTGGGATTAGCTCTAACTGAAAAATAGTTGCTTTTGCAGAATCCCATTTGATTTTATTTTGCCTTTGGTTGTACAGGCTCGAAAGCCAGCAAGGAGAGAGCACTGGAAAACAGATCGAATTAGGAAGATGAGTCTAGTGCCTGGTAAGATGGCCTCTCAGTAAAATAGAAAATAGCCTTGGTCCCAGGCTTCCTCTAAGGCAGGGGGAAACTAAAGACAGGGGAAATGAAAGGCTGGGATGACAGTAATGCTGGGTCAGAAGTAGAAGTGCAATGACAGACTCTTTACCCTTTGCAGCATAGCCAGCCTCCAAATGGCCACAATGGCCCCTGCCTCCTGTCATTCACCAGGAGGTTGTCCTCTCCCACACTGAACAGGGATGACCTGTGTAATCAATAAGGTACAGCAGAAATGATGGAGATGGATTTCCACAGCTAAGTCATAAAAGACATTGTAGCTTCTGCTTTGTGCTCTCCTGGACCATTTGGGATGTCGGCCGCCATGTCATGAGGCCACTCAAGTAGCACTACGGCGAGCTCCATGGGGTGAGGCCCTGAGAGCTCCTGCCAACAGCCAGCATCACCTTGCCAGCCAGGTAAGCCACCTGGAAGCACATCCTCCAGCCCGGGCAAGCTTCCAGATGGTCACAGGCCCAGCCAGCATCTTGAGTGCAATTGCATGAAGGACCCTGAGCCAGCATCACCCAGCCCAGCTGCTTCCTGACCCACAGAAACTATGTGAGACAGTAAAGGTTTGTTACTGTTTCTGCTCTTATACTTCACAGTAAGGTATTATACAGCCACAGGTCATGAATAGAGACCATCCCAGGTAGACCCTTATGTCTGTTTCCATGGGAAACTGGCTTTGTCTCCGGCGGGAAACCTTACCAAAGTGTCTTCACTAGGATGTTCTTCTCCCTTCTAGAATATCAGTACCACCTGATGTCAATATTCCCTGCCCAGGTATCCAGCAGCAGAAAGTGACTTTTCTGCTCCACTTCTGTGTGCTATTTTCAACTACATACATGTGTGTACACACACATACACATGTGAACACACATGCAGCTTTCTTTTAAACCTGAAAAACCACTTAAGCACTGGGAATCTGAACTTTTCTTCCAGCAAGGGCCGGATGCTCCGACGTGTTAAGTGCTATTTTTCACTCTGTGTCTCCACGGGCAGGCAGTAGTGGGTGGGGAGGGAGGGCGCCGGGGAGGCTGATTACTGCGGATTGATAGATGTTTCTGTTCTCACTTGCTACTCATAAAACTCTGAGCTGGGGTGGGGGACAAGCGGGACAGAGAAGCCACAGCCACCGGTCTGTGCTTTCCAGCATTCGTGCCAGCTTTCAGGATGCTATTTTCCCCCATTACTCTCTCTCCCCATCCCATTTTTTGACCCTGGGTGAGGAGGAGTGTCTTTGGTAAGATGAAAACACAGAGACTTAGTGAGCAGAACAGCATGCCTGAATTCTGCCCGGGGCCCTCTGCGTATTGTCAGAAATACTTCCTGGCAGCGTGGATGCTGGGCTGTGACGAAGCTGGAAGGCAGGAGACCTGCGGGTGCAGATTAAGAACGCGCAGCTCCGTCCCCTCCAAGAGGAGGGCCGGGAATTTGGAGGACCTTGGAGCAGTGGAACATTCTTCTAGCCCAGAGTGGGCCTTGCGGGCAGAAGCCAAAGGTGGAAAGCACGCAGGGACACAGAGGGACAACACAGAAAGAGGGGACAGGGAGGAAAGCAAAAGGCAGATCCAGACTGGACCTCTGCAGGCTGAAAGATGGCTAGATGGGAAAAAAAATGTTTCCATCTTCCTAACTCTGGGCTCATTCCTCATCCCTGCCAGGGGACTCTAAGTGTCTGTCCTTCCAAGTGTGGAGGCATAACCGAAGGGTTACGTGAGCAGTGAAATGTTCTCATCACGTGGTGCAGGGCCCAGAGATCTCCCCGATCCTAACATCGGTTCGAGGAAACAGTATTCCCCCTGCTCTGCACAGCAGTGTGTGGTTCCAGAGCCCCTGCCCTAAGCTCCTCTGCCCTTGAATGTCCTCTAGGACCGTGTCTTGTCTCTCTGCTCACTTGCATGTACGCAACCTCCCTCGGTGAGCTCATCCTTGCCCGTGAGGTCACCCATCAGCTCTGGGGAATCTCAAATCTGGTTTCTGGCTCTGCCCTTGCTCCAGCCCCAACTGATTTCAGCTGCACCTGGACTTTCGTCCCTGTCCTGGCGGGCTGGCCCTCACCGGACACTCAGCACTTCTAATTTAGAACCCAGGTCCACAGAGACGTCTCTGTTACTGCATGGTCTCATTCCTGCCAGTGATAGCAAGTCAGGAACTTGGGGGTCAGCCTCACTGTCTCTCTTTCCTCAGGCCCCAAATCCGTTCTGCCAGAGGGTCCTGAAGTCTTTTCCACCAAACTGTCATCTTGATTGTTGTCAACTGCTTTCCTGTGCCCACTGCTTCCGTCCCTTTCGAACTCACATCACCCAGGCCTGGAATGCCCTCTTTTCTTGCTGTGCACTTAATCCCACCCATACTTCAGGCTTGGAAGCAAATGCCCCATTCCTTAAAGCCTTATCTGACCCTTCACGACTATATTTTTCTCTTTTCTTAAACTTCCATCCATTGAAACAAGTAGGTATTGAGGGCCCGTAATGTACAATGTGCTGGGGCTGAGGAGGAAGTCCTGGGCTTTAAGGAGACTACAGTCTAGCGACCATCACATTCATCGATCACTTCTTTGTTTTCTCTCTCTCAATTGTGTTTCCCCAGCAAAATTCTTCAATAGCCAGATCTGAGATCTAAATGCCTTTGTCAAATCCACAAGGACTGACAGATTACAGGACACAGAAGTTCTTGCTAGATATGCGTTCCTTATAGGCAAGATGGGTACCAGGATAAGACTACAGAGGCATGCCAACTGCAACCCTTATCTAGGTTAGAGAAATATCTTTGGCGAAGGAAAAAAAAATCACAAAATTAAAGAAACCAAGCTGTGTTTGAATGGTGTTTTACATGTCTAACCGGAAATTCTATTTAATTTGACACTTATTTGACTCAAATTTTTAAAAGAATGATTGATAACCTGCTTCCCAAATTCCACAATAATGAAATAATGTCACATTTTAAGAGTAGAGAACTAATATAAAAATGATTTAGTAGCACTTTAACAATTAGAATGTAGACATTTGGAATTTCCTAAGAGATTTTATGAGATAGAAATAGGAGCTAATTGAGAAGCATTGAATAGAACTTCTTAGATAAAACCATTCAGTCCTATTAAGGGCAACATTATTGACAGGATCCAAACACACAAGGTAATAACCATGCCATTCTCTCTGCAAAGATCTCCCAGAAATGGGGTCCAAGACAAAACTGGCTCAGAGGATATCAATGTGACCTTTATAAGTGTCCCAGGAAAAAGACTTTTAAATGAGAAGTGCAGGAATCTCATTTCTCCAAATGCAAACTTTTTGCTATAAGGGAAAAACAGGGAGACATTTCACTCCTCCAAACCTTAAATGAGCATAGTTTTGATCCTTTGTTCAGAGGACCTGATATGGACCTCAGCTTAGACATCCAATTCAAGGAATATACGTCACCCCAGCCCAAAAGAATCTTCATGCACTAAACAGAAAAGCTCAGGAATTCAGTCAAATTTAGTCCCAGACCCATTTTTACTGACAAACTTAATCTTTCAAAAATCTTCTTACTCACCTGCCAGAATATGCTATCTATTGTGTTGCCAAGAAAACCATCACGACCTTCTGAAGACACCAGTTTGGGGCCAAGAATTGTCATGAATTCGTCAAAATCCACTTGGCCATCCCCTGGAAAGAGAAGATATAAATATGAGTTGAAAAGCACTGAAATTGGCTTGCTGTACCCAATGCAATAAACATCTCTATGCTGTTGTCCTTGGCCTGACCTCAATGAATGAAAAGGAGCTGGTAACATTACTGTACATTGTTGGACATTCTTTAAACACCAAAATTACCACGAGAAACTTGTGGTTATTAGCACACCCAATACCAAATCTCCTAACCATTTGTAGGTATTTCCAACTAGTACCTCCCACTTAACACAGCCACATTGCTCAGCTGTATGTGACAGAACTGGCAGCTTCATCCCTATCTCTTCCCTCATCCTCGTCACACACACATAAATGTAGTCATCAGGTCAGACTGATTTCACCTCTTAAATATCTGCGACTGCTATGTCTTCCTCGTTATGCCCAACGACTACAGTGGGAAACTGCTTCCAAGAATTAATGTTCCTACTTATGATTATAATGCTATTAGTAGAATGGCTTTCATGCTTTTATCTCCGCACTATCTTCCATGCAGTTCTGAGTTGACTTCCCCAAAAGCAAATCTGATCACGCTTCATCAACTTCAATGGCATCTTTGACCAAAAATAGGGAAACCACCTCAGCATGGCATTCAAGCCTCACTATCTCTTCTGCTCCCCTTTGCCCCCCTCTTTTGCATAAAATGCAAGTAAAATGCAAGCTCTTGCACAACTCCATGTCTGTGTACACGCTGTTCTTTCCACCCAGGGTGTGTTCCCCGACTTGTCCGCCTGGTCTCTAACACCACCTCGGTCTCTAAGATAGAGCTGAAATGTCAAGTTCTCTTTCTGTTTTTGTTTGTTTGTTTTTCCAGGTCCTTCTTCATCTCGCTAGGTAGAATTGGTCAAACTTAAATGTGAATCTCCTACTAACTTTATGTGCATCTATTATAGAATTAAAACCTTGTATCCCGGGCGTTGATTTGCATGCCTGTCTCCCAGCTGGACGGTAAGTTCTGCAAGGTCAAGGATCTGATCTGAAACATCTTTGTATTTCAACGCCAAAGTAAGTACTAAGTAACTACTTGTAGAGTGAACAAATGATGTCTCTTGCTTGTTCTTTGTTCAATTCAGTATCTGTTGCATCTTCCATGCTAGAGCTGACACTAACCAACAGGTGGACTTGAGCCACCTTAACAGACAAAAGTGAACCTTCGAGGCATTGTCTGAGCCTCAGTGAATTCTCAGTGTGGCATTCTGCACCCTTAGAACTTCCTACAAGGGCAGCTCCACCAAGAGCTCACCACAGCCTTATCTTGGCTGCAGCCAGTGAAGACAACCCAAGTGGCTGCACATGGGAGTTTGCCAAAATGCAGGCATATAAATCAATCCACTCCCAGACCATATTCACCTTCACAGAGCATCTGTCCAAAACCTATTTCAAAAAGTCAAGCAGGTGTTATCATCAAGATGTCAATAATTCAGAACAGATAGTCCAGGAATAGATTCCAGTGTAGATATAACTTTCTAAAGGATTAGGGAGGCGTGGCAGATCGCTGGGAAGGGGAAGATTTAGTCACCAAATGGGGTGGGGCAGCCAGTAGACTATGGAGACGAAATTGATTTATCTCACCATTCAATAAGATAAAGAAATCTAGAATTTCACTCTCACTGGTAATCATGAGAAAGCTAAATGAAGCAAAAATGAATTGCCATCTTGCCTTTAAAATGAGCAAATATTTCTTTAAAAAACATACAACTCAACATGGCAGAGATACAGAGAGATTATGACTTCCTGGTGTACTTGTTCTGAAAACCAACTGAAGGTACCCATCAAGATGCCATCAAATGCTGATTCCTTTGATCTAGTAACTTCACTTTTTAAGAAAATATCAAAACAAGAAAATTATCTTGAATGCAGAATAAGATGTTTGTCCATAGATAGTCAGCCAGTATTTATAAAAGTGAAAAATTGAAATCTGGAGGAAGAGGAGAATGCCCCAGTCTTCCTAGACTTTGACATCTCTGAAAGCCAACTCCACGTGGCCCCAGGTCTTAGACAGACACACGTATCATACATGTGCACTAACCTCTGCTCACCCCAACTCACCTCTCCTAGTCATAGCTAGGGCTGGATGGCTAAAAGAGTCTTAGACTAGAACATGCATTCTCAGTAGAAATAGTATCACCCCCAATGTGATGAAAATGGATTGTTAGGGAACAAAAAAAAATCTTATATATTATAATGGTTGTTGCTCTTCTAGGGCTACAGTATATAAACAGGTATACAGTGTATCTGTCCTATTAAAATTTCATGTGGGTAGGGCAAAAAGGGAACCATATGTCTTAAACGCTCCTTAAAAACAAAAGGAAGAAGAAGGTTAAGAAACACCAGATTAGCAGGTGTCCCAAGTACTACAGTTCTTCTTCCCTTGGCCCTGCTCTGGAATATTGGTCTGTTAGCAATGAGTATCATCCTATCTGTCACCATGGTGAGGTCTAACAGTTCATAGACACTTACAAGCTCAAGGACATGGCTCATTTTTGACTAAGACATCATGAGACCTTAACTAAAATATTTCCACCATGCTGGGTCACTTAAGCTCCTAGCCATGGTGTAGTGGGCACCATTCGCTCCCTCTTGGGAGCCTCATGGGAGATTGTCTACACTACAGGATGTGACAAAACCCATGCTTGTCTGCACCAGGAAGACAAGGCTATCTTTGAACAGCCCACCTTCCAGGTAGGAGCAGGGGAGAGACCACCCACCTTTCCAAAACCTCGCCCCAGCTTGAGGGGATCACAGCAGTATGGAATTGGTGCATTTCAAGGGTCCACACTAAGCTCTGGTCCAAATCATCATAGTACCAGACAGTGCTCACAGATGGTGCACTTGGCTGAGAACTACAGACCGACAAAAGCTGACAAGCAGAAAGGAAGCCTCTGAAATACATCCTGGCGCTGGTGGAGGGAGCAGCTTATTCACCATCTAAAACCCTTGGCCAGAGAGGCAGTGCTGGGGCGGGGAGCTCAGGATGCTGTGGGTAGTGCCAACAGTGGTGTAAGGATACGCATGACCTAGCAGAAGAGCTCTAGATCATGGGAGGATTTGCTCCTAGCCATTTAGGAGAGGATATTTGGAACCCCAGATTCTTTTATTGGTCAAATATTATTTCTGCCTGTGCTACTGTTATGTATAATAAGAAATACATATTTGGCCTTTGTCACCATTTCCTGACACACAGCTCATAAAACACTTGTTAATTGCCCAAGTGACAGGAATGCAAGACAAAGTGCATCTTTTGTTCAAATATTTGGCCCTTCACACAGAACTGTCTAAATCCCTTGGAATTTCCTGGTTGATAGGAGGGTCTTTTGTTCTAATGAGATATCTCTTGGTGGGCTCCTGGGCTGGGACTGGTCACCAGAAAGACCAAACCATCATTAGAAGCTTGGAAATATGAGGTCTATGTCCCACCTTCCAGGGAGGGAAAAGAAGCTGGAGATTGGATTAGTAATAGATCAAGCCTACACGATGAAGCCTCCATAGAAATCCAAAGTATGGGCTTCAGAGGGCTTCCAGGTTGGGGGATGCATGGAGGTGTGCCCAGAGAACCTTCCCCATACCTCACCCTGTGCATTTCTTCCATCTGGCTGTTCCTGAGTGGTATCTTTTGTAATAAATGGGTAATAGACAGTAAGGTGCTGTCCTGAGTTCCGTGGGCTGTTCTAGCGAATGGCTGAACCCCAAGAGGGAACCTCTGATTTATGGTCGGAAGCGCAGGTGACAGCCTGGACTTCCAACTGTCACGCTAAGTGGGGCAGTCTGGCAGACTGAGCCCTTACCCTGTGGCATCCAGTGCTGACTCCAGGCAGAGAGTAACAGAATGACATCTGATTGTAGGACAACCCAGTCAGTGTTTGCAGAAAAGTGGGGAATTGCTCCATGAGGGAGGAAAGTCCACACTTTGGTCACCAGAAGTATTGAGCGTTGCAAGTGAGAGCACTGGGAAAACACCATAATAGTTTTCTTTTTGCTCATACTCCCTTTTGTAAACTTTCACTGAGCAAAGGGAGACTGCTCCCGGCCCACAGTTGGAGGAATAGTCAGGGCAGGCCACTGCTTCTGTCTCTGCCTCTTTCACGGTTATTTCTCAGCTCTAGTTCCTGGGGATGTGAGGACACAGCGCATTTCTGCAGATCTTCGGAAGCCTGGCGAAGACCTCTCCTTCTAACACACAGCTGTACACCTGCCCCACTGGTGACATAAAGGGTCAACTCACATTTAGACTGAGCAAATGGCCTCTGCAGCAGATCCTAATTTAACAGATAAACAGGGCTGGGAACACCTCAAAAGTTATCAGCGTTGTCCCAGAAGTCCAGCTCCTACACCCCTCGCCCCTCGCCCCTCGCCCCACCCATCCTGGGGAACTGAGACAGACAGAATCTCAAAGGTAGGTTTTACACTAAGCCCCTCGACCTTAAAACCATCCCCAGGATGTGGCAAGGTCCGATAAATCTGATGTCGACAGTAATATTAATATTTACCGAGCACTCACAGCGTGGTAGACATTATTTAAAGAAACTTCCATATACAGATTCCTTTAAGTCTTCTGGCAGCCCATTTTACTGATGAGAACACTGAGGCATGCAGACCGGGATGGTGGCACGTGCCTCTAATCCCAGCTGCTTGAGAGGCTGAGGTGGGAGGATTGTTTGAGCTCAGGAGTTCAAGAACAACCTGGGCAAGATCGTAAGACCCTTGTCCCAAAAACAAACAAGCTAACAACAACAAAAACAAAACAACAACAAAAAAAGGAAACCGAGGCACAGAGAGGCTAGGTAGCTTGCAGAAGTCTACACAGGGAGCAGGGCTGGGATTCTAGCTCCACCAGTCTGCCCGTGCTTTGGTGGCCTTTCCGGCCGGTCATTGACACAATCTGTCTGAAACACTCGCTGTCCTGACCCCGGCACCCCTGGGGAGGGGAGTGGGAGCTACATCTGCCTAGCACGCAGCGGCAAACTGAGATCCAAACTGCTC